AAAAGTCTATTGGAAACATTTCAGGCGAAAAAAAACATACTGAGTTACCAAATTCTTTTGAAGTCTTTGAATTTAAATATTTATTATATTTATCAAGGCAAAAAATTTAGTAGAGAAACTCGTAATGTGGCTGTTGCCAATTTTAGATTAAAAACTGGGCAAGGCTGCCTTTGCGAACATCAGACCAAAATTGGGATTATGAACTCTGCCATCATATATGTGATATGTCTGATATACAATGGACCACAAAATTGAGTATACACCTTAGAAACTTAGAGACTTTTTGCAATTACAAATTAAATATTGCTTTAAGATGATTGAATTTTTTACCTTATATACTTTAGTCTATGCTTTACCGTACTATACTTATAAAATTGTTGCGTTTATTTATTTTTTACGAAAAAAATAAAAGATCTGAGACGAGAGGAAAAACAACACCACAAAAATAAGTATACACCTTTATTAATTTTCTTTTAACGTACAAATTAATATTTTGTTGCATAACCTTTTGCTTGAATTACAGCTTGTAATCTTATGGACATTGATTCTACTAGTGTTTTAGTGGTTTCAACAGAAATTTTAGCCCATTCTTCTCTCTGAACCTCCTTGAGAACTTCCTTGCTTGTGATTTCGTGCTCCTGTACAGCTTTCTCTAATTGCGACCACAAATTTTCGATGACGTTTAGGTCTCGAGACTGGGCTGGAGTGTGTAATTGCTTCTTGCAATGGTACAGCAAGTATAACTGCACAATCTTCGCTGTATGTTTGGGGTCGTTGTCCTGCTGGAATATGAAGCTTGACCCAAGCCCCAACTTACTGGCACTTTTTTTTAAGTTATCATTTAAAATCCCCAAATATACATGTTTGCCCATAATACAATCTATAAAAGCAAGCTCTCCAACTCCTCCAGCCGACATACAACCCCAAACGAGGACAGATCCACCTTCGAACTTGACTGTCTTAATGGTGTTTTTAGGTGCCAGTGCTTTCCTAGCTTCTCTCCATATTTTAAATCGTCCATCGCTTCCGTAAAGATTAAACTTACTTTCATTAGAAAATATTACAGTGTTCCACAGAAAGAAATAGGCTTTAAACGATGTTCTTTGGCGAAAATCACTCTCTTTTGTCTATTCACATACTTGATGAGTGGCTTTCGTATTGGTGTACGGCCATGAAACCCATATTGGTGAAGGGTACGTCGAATTGTTTCAACTGAGATCTTTTTCCTGATTGTAGAGGACATCGATAAAGCTAGTTTAGAGGCACTCACCCTCGGATCTTTCTTTACTGAGTGAATGATCTTCCTCTTCGCTGTATTACTCAGTATTTCTTTACGTCCTCTTCCAGGAATATTGGCCACAGATCCAGTTTTTTTATACTTCTGTAGTATTTTTTGGACACAGCCATGAGTTACACCAATCAACGAAGCGATTTCTCGAAGAGATTTACCCTCTTTCGACCATTTTACAACCAATAAACGCTCAGATTCAGAAGTTTCTCTACGAGAGCTCATTTTACGATTTTTAATGAGAAAAAATACTATTTCAAAGCGTTGAAGTGCAATAGCACGTGTTATAAGCAGCAGCTACTCCTGAAACTCTTTAAAGAAAATTTGAAACTAAAAAAAGTTATGGCATAATTTACAAATATAAGAAGTGTATACTTAATTTTGTGGCATGGTTTTCTATCTTTTCTTCGAATCGCTTAACTTTTTTTGTAATAAATAAGTTAACTATAGAATTGTTTTATTATAGGATGGTAAAGCAGAGGTTAAAGTATATAGGATAAAAAAATTTATCTATTTAAATCAATATTTAATTTGTAATTGGAAAAAGTCTAAAAGTTTTAGAGGTGTATACTCAATTTTGTGGCTCACTGTATGTGTCTTACATAAAACACATATATCAGAGAAAATAAATAAGGCCCATTTACTTGTTTGCTTGGGACTGGACTCTAATTGCAACAGAATGGTGTGTACTCTTTACTAAAAGGCCGGAGAAAAAGGTGTCCTGATCACACGGACTTTTATTAGGGTGCTTCTAGCTTGCATGGATTGCAAAAGTATCAATGAAATATCTTTGAATTGGAGGCCTGATGGCCGAGTGTCTAGTGATCTGGCGCACGGTATCGCAGGTTTCGGGTTCGAATTCCGGCGGTGCCATGGATGTTTGTAGTATTTCGGAATCCACTTTAAACCTGTATTTCCCGGTCTAACACGATCGTAGAGTGTTGTGGGGGTAGTGTTACTCCACGACCGTAGCTTATCTTCAAGCTACGCGCACCTCCTGGGTAGTTCTAAGTGGGTAACGTCGGTGCAGCGCTTGCCTTAAGGCATTAACGACAACTGTCTGTGATTGCCGGCTGTATTAGAAAAAAAATAGTTTTGAATTTATCGTTTTAAAAGACGAGTATTCAATCCGCAATATTTTTGAAAAAAATTCAAAATTTATTAGACGTGACTGAAATTGCAAAATTTAATAAAATAAACCAAATCGTACAAACATATCTTTTCTGTTATTTTTTTCATTCATTAAAACTATAGGAAATTTATTCGTTACTTAAACATTTCAAAGAAAATTTTTATTCCTCCTAAAAGGAAATTGCACTTCCCCCCATTTTGTTCGAAGACAACTTTAAATATTACCTCGTCGTAAAATTTAAACGAACATAATTTTTTATGCAAAAAAGAGGAAATATTCCTGATTTCCGTAGATTCTCTCTAACTAGAAAACTTTTATCATTAAACAAATCTGGTTCATTTATAAAAAGATTTAAAATCACACAGAAAAAAAAATCAAAGCTTTTTGGATGAAAACTTTATGATTACCTTCCGTCTCAAATTATCCAAAGCATTTCAGACTAATAAAATAAGAAATCTTATAAAAAATCTCGCGCTTTTTAAAGCAAATGAATTTCAAATTACATGAATAACAGTTATTAAAATCATTTGGAAGTTGAAAATAAAAATGTAGAAGTTATTGAATAAATTTTATTTGATCTATTTTAGACTGAATATTGGAATAAGTAGAAAGTTTTTTTTTCTTATCTGGAATGCTTTTTTTTAAAATTAGAAATATTTTTCTGTCGGGCTCAAAATTTTAAATTTAAAAATTTATTCCTTTTTGGTGGCTTCAAATGTAAACAGGGAATCACAAATTAAATTACCATGCAATTTAAAAATGGTATTTTATAAATTTGAATCTAAATATAAAATTTTATTTTAAAAACATCGAAATGTCTTTTAACTTTTCAAAAAAAAAAAAAAAAAAAAAAAGATGCACAACTTTTTTTACACTATTTAAATTTATTTTTATGAAAACCTCTATTCGTTGATGATCAGTCCATTTCATAAAAAAATTATCGAATTTTTTTTAATATTCAAGGACCATAAAATTACAAAGATTTAAAAAGTCTATTAAAAATATTTCAGGAGAAAAAAAACATGTTGAGAAAGGGAGAAACGGTATGGCATCAAAAAAAAGTCCAACCGATTTTTCCCATCTAATTTGGTAGGACCTTGCCGTGGTGCATGGGCTTTCCACTAACAGTGTCACAACTGTTGAATGACTTGGAAGTCGTTTTTAATACGCTTTTATTAGCTTCACCTGTATGTTTGTATGTAACTCACTTTTTGGGCTCGATTTTGGGACTGATGGCGCCATCTACTGGCGAGTCAGTCAACTGATCCGCGATCGAATTGCGCTCTTCCTATTGGCCGAAAATTTCGGTGGCTAAAAAGAGGCGGATCTCAAAGCCATAGGAGTGCGATCGTGTCGAATTGCGCTCTTCCTATTGGCCGAAAATTTCGGTGGGTAAAAAGTATGTAAACTTAGCAGGATAACCGCCCAAGTGGAAAACAAAGTAAAAACAATTATACTTTAAAAAAACTTTTAAAAAAATATGCTTTTAGAGTTAATCAGACTAAAAAGTAAAAAATAAATTAATAGTTTAAAAAAACTAAAAAATACGCTTTTAGAGTTAATCAAACTAAAAAGTAAAAAATAATTGTTAACATAAGAATAAAATGACTGACGAGAAAATGAATGTCACTGTTCTAAAAGCGTGGGGTGCTTTGTATGACATTTTTAAACTAACTCTGCATTTCGGAATAAAACTAGTGAGAAATTATAACGATTGATATCGAGCACCCCACGATTTTAGAACAGTGACATTCATTTTCTCGTCAGTCATTTTATTCTTATGTTAACAATTATTTTTTACTTTTTAGTTTGATTAACTCTAAAAGCGTATTTTTTAGTTTTTTTAAACTATTAATTTTTTCCATCAAAAAACCGAAAGACTCAAGCACATTGAACACTACAGTTGGTTTAATGTGCAACTCATTCCAAATACGTTGTCATTTCGATTCAAAATACCACCGGCAGCCGAATTTACTTTCTTTAGGCCGCTGACAGCGCCATCTATTAATACACTTTGGAACATTTTTTGATGCCGTATCGTTTCCCTCTTCAAGTGTCTTCAGTTCAAATTTGAACTTATTGTAAAGAGTGGCTCTTTTTTTTTCAATTCCTTCTATTAGCTCACACTCTCCCTATATATATCTTGTTCAAATTTTCAATCGTTAATAAATTTCTTTTTATTCATCTACTCAAGTTCAAATACATTTTTTTGAACTTGTAGTGGATGACAATTGTTGTTAATACAGTTTTTTCAAATATTAATTCATTAATTAAATTTAATTAATTCATTTTAGTTTTTTTTAGATTTAAGTTGCATGTATCTACCAATAGATGGCGCCAGATAAACTTAAAAAAATGAATTAAAATTATTTATAACGAACTTTCTGCAATATAGTGAAAAAAAAGTAGGAATTGACTTTAAAAAAAAATATTATATTACTTGTTTTACAGCATTTTGAAAGTCGGACTTTAATTATAATCACCCTGTATTTCTTGTTCCGGGTTTTCTGCGGCAGTTTCGGTTAAGATGTTTATGCAAGTTACAAAGAGGGCCAACGGTCACAGCCAACGGCCGTACCATGGTTCTCGTTAGATCACCGAAGTTAAGCATCATTGGGCGCCGTCAGTACTTGGGTGGGTGACCACCTGGGAACACTGCGTGCCGTTGGCAAATTTGGGACCTGAATGGCCGAGTGTCTAGCGCTCTGGCGCTCGGTGCCACAGGTTTCGGGTTCGAATCCCGGCGGTGCCATGGAGGTTTGTAGTGGTTCGGAATCCACTTTAAGCCGTAGGTCCCGGTCTTCTATGACTGTAAGAGCGTCACGGAGCAAAAGTCAGGCCCTTCAATCATGAGTCCATATGGGCTCGTGGGCTTGGCCAGCCAAGTGGGATAAGAAACAACAACAAACAAAACAACACAAAGAGGGAAAACTGATATTTGTTCGTATAATAAATAAAAATGTATTCCCACAAAGTTGATTGAAAATCAATTCTTATTTCATTATCAATTCAGATTTCAAATTTTCAGTAATAAGGATAATTAATTAAAATGCTCGAAACGCAATATGCGTCAGAAAAGCAAACTCGTTGCTTCATCCAAAATCAATACATAGGGGAATTGAATTTAATTATGGATTTATCAAATAACCGTTCTATCTGAAATGATTTTTGATTGTTAAGGGAAGAATTAGTCTGGATCAACAAATACATGAAGTTTCCTAACTCTGAAATTATTATCTGAAAAGGTAATGTCTTTCCTTGCATACTTAAAACAATTCGCATAATTATTTAAATTATTAATAGCGTTTGTTTAAAATTAACCAAACGTAGCCATAATTTTCATAAATTATACACTGAAGTGACAAAAGTCATGGGATAGCAATATGTAAATTTTCAGATGGCAGTAGCATCGCGTAGAAAAGGTATAAATGCGCAGTGCTTTCGCAGAGCCTTCATTTCTGTTCAAGTTATTCATGTGAAGAGGTTTTGACGTGATGATGACCGCACGACGGGAATTAACAGACTTTGAACGCGAAATGTTAGTTGGAGCTAGACGTATGGGTCATGCCATTTCGGAAATCGTTAGGGAATTCAATATTCCCAGATCCACTGCGTCAAGAGTGTGCCGAGAGTATGAAATTTCAGGCATAACATCCCACCATGGACAGCGCAGTGGTCGACCGCCTGCACTTAACGACCGAGACCGGCGACGTCTGCAAAGAGTCGTAAATTCTAACAGACAAGCAACACTGCGTCAAATAACCGCAGAAATCAATGTGGGACGTACAAGGGACTTGTCTGTTAGAACTGTGCGGAGAAATTTGGCTTTCTTGGGCTATTCCAGCAGAAGACCGACTCGAGTGCCTTTACTGACAGAACGACATCGCTTGCAGCGACTCTCGTGGGCACGTGAGCATATCGGTTGGTCCCTAGATGAATGGAAAACCGTGGCCTGGTCCGATGAGTCACGGTTTCAGTTGGTAAGAGCTGATGGTAGGGTTCGAGTGTGGCGCAGACCCCACGAAGCCATGGACCCAAACTGTCAGTAAGGCACTGTTCAAGCTGGTGGTGGCTCCGTAATGGTGTGGGCTGTTTTTTCATGGCATGGACTTGGTCCTCTGGTGCGACTGGACCGAACATTGACTGGAAATGCTTATGTTCAGCTACTTGGAGATCACTTGCAGCCATTCATGGACTTCATGTACCCAAACAACGTTGCGATTTTTATGGATGACAATGCGCCATGTCACCGGGCCACAACTGTTCGCGATTGGTTTGAAGAACATTCTGGACAATTCCAACGAATGATCTGGCCACCTAGATCGCCCGACATGAATCCCATCGAGCATTTATGGGACATCATCGAGAGGTCTGTTCGTGCCCAAAATCCTGCACCATCAACGCTTTCACAATTATGGACGTCTATCGAGACAGCATGGCTCAATATTCCTGCAGAAGACTTCCAACGACTTGTTGAGTCCATGCCACGTCGAGTTGCTGCACTTCGCCGGGCGAAAGGAGGGCTGACACGATATTAAGAGGTATCCCATGACTTTTGTCACTTCAGTGTAAAGCGGAATCATTTATTACATTATTTAATTTGTATCGTCAAGTTTGCATTTTTCAGTCAAACAACAAAGCCATATAAATAAATTAACAGAAAAATAACTAATAATAAATATATGTAAATTAACAAAAATTAAATATTTAGTTTTAATTGTAAGTCTGTTTTTAAAGCTATTTTTTAATTTTAATTGGCCCAACAAGATTTGTGAAAGTATATTTTTATGCAAATCTTAACGGATAACATGAAAAGCTATTAACTTATAAAAATAGCCATGTAAATTAATTAATAGAAAATAACAAAAATTAAATCGATACAAATTACTTAAAATTAAATATTTAGTTTTAATTGTAAATCAGTTTTTAAGCTTTTTTACTTTTAATTGACCAAACAAGATTTGTGAAAGTAAATTTTATAATGCCATAACATGAAAATCTATTAATTTATATAATGACCATATAAATAAATTAACAGAAAAATAATAAATATATGCAAATTAACAAAAATTAAATATTTAGTCTTAATTGTAATTCTGTTTTAAAGATATTTTTTTTACTTTTAATTGACCAAACAAGATTTGCGAACGTAAATTTTATGAGACAAACCTTAATGGCATAAAATAAAAAGCTATTGACTTATAAAGTGTCCATATAAGCAAATTAACATAAAAAGCCATATAAACAAACTAGCAGAAAAACAACGAGTAATAAATATATGCAAATATACTTTTAAAAATAAATGTTTTAAATTTTTTAATCTGTTCTATTTATTTATTTTTTTTTTACTTTTAACTCACCAAACAATATTTATGAAAGTAAATTTTATTAAACAAGTCTTAATGGCATAACATGAAAAGCTATTAACTTATTAAATACCTATATAAATAAATTAACAGAAAAATATAATAAGCACATTCAAATTAACGAAAACCAAATATTTAGTTTTAACTGTAAATCTATTTTAAAGCGTTTAAAACAGACCTTAATGGCATAACATCAGAAGCTATTAACTTATGAAATGGCTAAATTGTGTGGCGGCTTTTGAATTTAGCTATAAAACCTTTAACCCGTCTACAAAACATACTACGCTTCAAAAAAAAAATGTCTGAAAAACGCTTCGCAAGAGAAATTAATATTTATGAATAGAAGACACTTCGACGAATATTGAAGAGCTCCATTTCCATAGGAAGATGAGCGTCCAGTCCGAATTGAATATTCTATTGCGCATTAAAATATTCCTAAACATTAATCGAATTTTTTTCGGAATATATTCAGTGTTTCCCCGCTTTTTATTTAACTATATCCCTCTTGTTTTTTAATTAGATGAGTATTTTACAAAATACAAATAATTTTTTTTTTTATGCAAAATGTTTTATCAAGTTTCATTTAAAAGCATTAATTTTTTTAAAATCTCTGTATTACTCCATATTTTCTAGAAATTATTTATGTATTTTTTTTTTTAATTTATAAACTAGCATTATCAAAGATGAATAGGGTTATATAAAAGTAAAATATAGCTATTAAAAATTTCTTGTTTCTAAAATCATTTTCTGACAGTTTTACTAGAAACATTTGTTTTATTTATTGTTTAAATGTTTGTTTCTTACCGTAAAGAAAAAGTGTATTTTGTTTTATTAATAAAATTTTATATGTATAAGAATAGTATTTAATAATAATAATTTTGGAGAGTTATTCATAATTTTAGCAGTCGAAATAAAACATTTTATCATGAATTCAAACCAGAATAAAAGTCAGATATATTTGCATTAATTGGTTTCTGCACACTTTGGGCTAATTAGACATCGACGTACTGTTTAATTTGAATTCTACCTGAAGACTGTGGTACCAAAGGCAATATCAGCGGCCTGATGGCCAATCGGTTTGCGATCTAGTCTTTGGTACAACAGGCTTCAGATTCGAATCCTGGTGGTGGCATGGATGTTTATGAGTGGTTCGGAACCCAAGTTAAACAGTACATCCCTGTCTAATTAACCAAAAGTGCGCACAAAATGACCGTAGAGCGATAAATCAAACCTAATTTATCCAATTAAGAAAAAACTTTAGAATAGCGGATTATTTTTTTTCTCATCAACCAAGATTATGATCAATTAATATTCTCTAATAAATTATGCCTTTTTCCTTGATTAAACTTGTGGATAAATACCTGAAATCTTTCCTTTTACACCTCAGAAGCACAACATAAAGTTTAACTTCGGTCTTGCGTAATGTTTACGCACATATTTTTATTTTTATTTTTGTGTTTTTGAATTGTTTAACAAAAAAAAAATGAAATAAAAAAATAGTTCTGTATATTGATTATTTGTTATTTACATATTTTATTTATGCCCGACTCGCTACTCAGTGGCAACTCGCGCCGCCGGTGAGCATTAAGGCAAATGTTCAATCCGCTGTCGGCTTTGTTGTAGACACTATTTATAAGAACTAGAAGACTCGATGGTATTTGTGATGTTCAGCATCTTGCTTTGTTAGTCGAGCTACCTGGTGGAAGTTTCCGGGTTTTCTCCTATACGATACATAAATGAGGGATAGTTTCCCCAAAAAGTCCTCCCGGAAAGCACTGTTGTCCTTCTTCAACTTCACGGAGTTAAGTCTGACTTCTATCGACGGGTCTCCATCACAACAGGATCTGTCCTCCTTACACGAAACCACGGGGGTTCTTGGTCTAAATTAGGAATATATACGAGACCACATTAGATGTGGAATCGTACTAGATGAGTAATACATATGAGAACACACTAGATGAGTAATACATATGAGAACACACTAGATGAGTAATACATATGAGAACACACTAGATGAGTAATACATATGAGAACACACTAGATGAGTAATACATATGAGAATACACTAGATGGGTAATACATATGAGAATACACTAGATGGGTAATACATATGAGATTACACTAGATGTGTAATACATATGAGATTACACTAGATGTGTAATACATATGAGAGTACACTAGATGGGTAATACATATGAGAATACACTAGATGGTAATACATATGAGAATACACTAGATGAGTAATACATATGAGAATACACTAGATGGGTAATACATATGAGAATACACTAGATGGGTAAT